TTCGCTCCTTCGCTCCTTCGCTCCTTCGCTCCTTCGCTCCTTCGCTCCTTCGCTCCTTCGCTCCTTCGGGGAACTGGGATGGTCGTCGGAATATTTGAATTTAACTCTTAAAGGAGACTAATATGGGAGTTGCTCGAGCCCCATTAGACCCCTAAAAGATACCACTTAAAACGGAATAGGATCGATTACTAGCCACTGTTCAAGAAAGGATCCCACGCACACTTGTAGACCCGACTCGCGTACTCTAGAGATCAGCGGAAACCAAACCTAAAAAACAAAAATTAAATGAGAGCGTTTCTTTTGATTATTATTTCTGCGAGTGCACCCTAAAGGATACTTTGACAGCTAAAAATGTTGACCTGTCGTCGTCAACACCCTAAGTGAGACCAGAATCCTTGATTTGTACCTAACACAACGAGCATCTCCGACTTTCTTTTTATAATAATAAATAATAATAAAAAAAATAAAAGACTTAATTTAACGAGGGTGACATAATTTACTGGTTGCCCAGTAGTTTACAATATGGCCCTCCCTAATTTTACATTAAATCATTAACATATTATATACTTATGAATAGTGATTAAAATTTAAATTTACTTAATACAAATAAGATCTAGAAAGTGCTACTAATTACAAAGTGTTCTAGTGTAGCATTTTGTTTCAGTAGCTTCTGGCGTACTTTTCCTGTGAATTGTTTGTGCAATGTAGTATCACGAATGGAAACATCAACATTATTCCAAAGGCGAGTTGCGCTTGTACGGAAAGTCCTGCAACCTGAAACTCTCTTGCACCTAGGAATAAATAGGTTATACTTGGTTGTAGCTTTAGTGTTGTAGCTATGAGTGTCCTTTAGATAATGTATATATGGAATAAAGTAATCTGGACAATGTCCAAAACTGATCTTATGTAATAGATCAAGCTTTCTGCTACGTATGATATCGTCTATGGGGAGCCATCCTAATTTAGTAAATAGCTTCACAGAGTTATCAGAAAACTTAGCATCAAGTATTAATCGCGCACACCGTTTTTGGATTCTTAGTATTCTTATTAAATTCTCTTTGGAGCGATTACCCTAGACAGTACAACAGTACTCTACGATAAGCTTGAAAATTGCATTATATAACATCTTCCTACAGTGAAGTGTTAAATAACCTCTTGCTCGCTTTAAAAGACAAATTCTAGAATTTAGTTAACGATTAGATAGTCAATGTGTTGGTCCCATTTTAAATTTTTGTCAATCTTAACTCCAGGAGACTTAACTCCAAGAATATTTTTATATAGGAGTTCCACGCCCCCGGTTTCGAACATTCACCATTTAAGGCCGTTTTATAGTCGCATCGTGTCAAGTTAGTTATATTCTTTGAATTTCTGACGCAAGTAATCAATATCTTACCTCAGAAATGTTCTACGTTGAATAAATTTTCGACGTACGTTTTTTTATAAATAGAAGCTACCAGTAATTATCTAAATAGCTCATTTCCCGAGGATGCCTCTCATACAGGTTTAACCATACTCGACTGTCGAAAATGAAAACACTGAAAGTCACAAAATTGACGAGCTATATGAAATTTTCGAATGATTAAAGCCGTGATTAATTGTTTTAGAAGATCAACAGTCAAGCGAATTGAGGAGAATTCCGCTGTTTATTTATACGATATTGTAAATAAATACACATGGGTACGGACACGGCGAAATGAGGAACAAATAGTTAATAAATAGAAGAAACGACATTACACCAAGCTGGGAGTTCTGCAGTCTTTAATATCCCCGTGGAAAGGGAAGGAAAAAGAAAAAAAAAAAAAGAAAAACAAAAGTTATTACATGTTTATCTTATCAAATGAACACAAGGCCAAGAAATAACGAAAATAAAGCTTTCATTGTAGTGGCTGTGCTATGTTTGCAGGTAATGACTGACTGCACAAGTTAGCTTTTTTTACTTAATGTAAGATTGTTGCTGATCGTGTTGAGGACATGTTTATAGTTCTTAATCTTCATTTAGTCGTCCGCCAGTCTTCGCCTCTTCTTACTGTACTACTTTGCCTCGGGTTCTTCCGTTGGTTCTTCTGTTTCCTATGGAGCTTCTATATCATCTGGGGCTTCTGTTGCTTCTGGGGCTTCTGTTTCTTCTGGAGCTTCTATATCATCTGGGGGTTCTGTTGCTTCTGGGGCTTCTGTATCCTCTGGAGCTTCTATATCATCTGGGGCTTCTGTTGCTTCTGGGGCGTCTGTTTCGTCTGGAGCTTCTATATCATCTGGGGGTTCTGTTCCTTCTGGTTCTTCAGTTGGTTCTGATGTGTGATGTTTGGGAGAGACGATAGAGTAAATTATAGGATAACTCATAAATAGATAAAATAATACCGGGTCAGCTGTCGCCATTGCAAAAAGTAAACATTAGGGAACTACTTTTGTGTTTTTTAATCTAATGGAGCTCAATCTTCGCAACATGATAGACAAACGCATGTTTTTTGTTTTGTTTTGTTTTTTATTTTAATGTTCTTGGCGGGAAAACAACGGCACCAAAATGGCAGCAAAATGCTATTTTCACTTTCCGACTAAACTATATAAATTCATGAATTCCCTCCAAAAACCTTTAAAATAAAAAAAAAAAAAATACAAAAACACATCCATTTCCCTGGATTTGAATTGTCTCTCTATTCCCTAATGACTATTTTTTGGCAGTGAGAACTGACCCGGCGTGAACCATGAATAACACAGAAATGTCTTATTGTTTTTTGTTTGTTGTTTTTTGTTTTGTTGTTGTTGTTGTTGTTGTTGCTTTCTGTAAATCAAATACATATCACTAACAGTGGCTTTCGATTGAGTGTCGAATGTAGCCAAGCAATTACTTTTGTTCTGGTTTTGGTTTTACTACGGTTTGAGATTGTCTGAGTAGTTTAATTAGTCAGTAATTGGTTTGATTTTGGTTTTACGATTGGCTTTACGACGCTCAATTGAAAACCTCTCTCAGTAGCTAGCATATTTACAACACATTGTTGCCTAGCTTTAGGATATTTTTATCAGAAAAGGGAACGCCCTGATCATTAAAACTATTGTATTGAACTAAAAGTACAAATTAATCACAGAGCTGTATGCAGTCATTGAACTATTCTGTTTAACATGGGGTGTCTTATTTATTGCATATAGGTGATATCAAAGCTTAGTAAGAGCGGAACAGGTATCTGTTCTGGCTAAACAGCAAAATGGAATGTGATACGGCGACCTTCGGTGTTCTATTTTTAGCAGAATAGAAAGTGAAAACTTGTAAATGAAACGGTTTTACGGGAGTTTCAGAAGAAAACTCGGGAAGCATTGGATATCATACAACCATAAAGTCACAGTAAATCAACAAAATCATGTTCAGTTGAATGCTGGCTCGGTTTTTTATTCATCTTGAACAAGAACCCTCCGATAATTCAAAATTATTTTGTAAAGTATAATCTTAAAATGTTGAACTCTAGATGCGCTCAAACCCGCCTTATGATCATCTAGAGGCGTTATCAACAGGACTGCACAGCTTATCGCAAGACCTATACGATTAAATGTGATCTACAAGCTTCACCCAGTGGTATTTTTCCTGCGAATGGGTTAACACCCAGCAAAATTATTTTCTCTGTTGTTTTTCTTTTTTTTTTTTTCTTTCTCTTATAAATAATAAAATTAATCTTCACTTTGAGTAGATCCCTTCGGGAGCCCTTATTTTGCTGTCTTTAGCTGTTTATCCCTGACTGATACGAATCGCACTTCGTTCGTACAAATGTAACTGGTTGCAAATTTCAATTTAAGGTTCTTACTTTTCAAACATACATCGGATGAAGAGACGATATCCGATAAAGATAAAATCTCACTGATTTTTTACTAGCACGAAATAGCTTCGAGATACAGAACAAAACAATTGTTAATCATTGAAAGGTTGTATGTAATGCAAGAATGGGAAGTTGAAAATAACCGAGCATGATGGTTTTGGAGGATGTACTAAACAGTGAACATAAAATATGTCTTTGTTATATTACAACTTACCCTGTTGAGGCAAGGGACTAGCTACGAGCTGCCCCACAAGAACTGCACAAAGGCAAAGAAGACTGATTACAGGTCTCATTTTCGTTGCTCGTTCTTGATCTTTCTTGTTACTATGTCGCTGGCACTTCTTGTGAGTCAGTT